TACTAAAGTCGATAATCCCTTTCGTAAATCGACAAAAAATATGATTTAAATTACTGACAGCACATGGAGTTGCCAATGTGTCATGTGTTTTTGCGTGATTTCATCATCTTGAATAATCACCTGTACTGCTGGGATGTGATTGCGGTGTTGAAACAAACATTTATTGCACTTGTACGTAGGCAGAAGCTCATTTTACGCTTGTTGGCCTGCGCATGAAAGCAAATATCCTTAGAAGAATACTGCTTCCTGCTCAGTCTGATTGTCGAATTAATTGGCCAACTAAAATTTCACTTGAACTAAGACGAAGACTAGTTATACTTTAAAGCCAAATATAAAATATTTGGGTCGCACACACCAATTATCCAGACAAGTATTCTTAGTATGCACACTATTTTAATTATGGATTATTGAATTAATGAATTGAATTGGATTATTGAAATTTGAAATTCATCTAGTTTTTTGTGCCAAGAAAACAATGAAATTATAGTGTTGGCAAGAAAGCAGAATACTAGGTAATAAGCTGATTAGTCTTTGCTCTGTTCCACAGGATTACTGGTTTAGGTGTATAAATATAAAGTGCAGGCAGCTGAAGCGAAATATAAACCAATGGTTGTAGTGGCAAATGTTCCATAAACCACAGAAAAAAATTCGGGAGGAAAAAATCCCAACTGGCCCTCTCCGCCCGATACTTTCATGGAAATTCAGCTGTATTTCCGACGGATAATATTTAAAAGAAATTAAGAGAGGTGGGTGCTGTAAGAGATTGAAGCAAATAAGATGAATAATTTCTAGAAAGAATAAATAAAAAACTAAATTAAGTGCAAAAATTGCTAAAGATAGAGCATTAATTAAATGAATAAATAATTTACAAGAGAAATTATTATAGAAGTAAAAGGCACAGGGAGAAGTATATCCAATTAATAAGCTAACATACTAAGAATACCAAGACCGCCCGGACTATCAGCGTGGCTGTGGCATGTTAGTTATGTTACTGGGATGCTTCCACAATTTGGTCGCAACTGTGCCTCCACACGTTGGTCGCAGTTTCATTCGATCCTAAGCCGCATACCTTCACTTAGTGCCCACTATCTGTTCGATGTATGTGTACCATGTCTAAGCAAATATAAGGAAGAAAAACGATGGCAAAGAGCTGTGCCATCTCATATAAAAATGAATTGTCAACAACGTATTTGCTCTTTTACAACCAAAAAAACATTAATGTGAAACCAGTTTTCCACGTCTACGTAGGGTTTTTTTTTTTGTGTATATTTACTGTGTGTGGTTTTTGAAGCCAGCCGAACTTGCAGCGATAGTAGTGTTTCTTAGAATTAGTCTAACTAACCTTAATGAGAGGGATATTTGCTCAAATACTCATGTGAAGCTGTATTTGTGGACTCTTAGTTACCATTACTTATGCAACTTAATGGACCGAAACGTCTTACTCTCTGTTAAACTACTCTTTTCCTTTTGCTATAGGTTTCATTCTTCAATATTTCCAAATATATTTCACATGTGACTGATATCTACTTCTTAATTATTGTTTACGGTTTCGCTTAAACCCACCAATAAGCCTAGTATTTAATATTAAATAAATGCAATTACATGACGGACGAGTATTTTTCAAGGCGGCGATTTGTCGTACTGACGAGGTCCAGTTGCGGTACTGAATAGGAATGTATACGACTTGATGGACTGAAATGTTTTTGACTAATTTTAAAATTGATTTTAATATTTTACATATATGTATATATAAAATATATATATTTTTTACATATATGTGTATGTAAAACATATATATATATCAAATTACGAAAAATCTTCACTAAAATAGTATACACACCACCTGTTTTAACAATCGTTTTGAAAAACGACGAATGATAATAAAGGAAATGTTTGAAAGATATAATATGTGTGCATAACGTTATCTTCGCTCTCCCCGGCTGATCGTATCATCACAATCGATTCGATCGCCATCATCTCTGATCGCTGTCCATTCACCTCCTTCTTTCCCTTAGTGTACACAGCGATGAGTGTTAATTGTTCTCTGAAATGCAGAAATTTTTGAAGAATCGTGTAGCGAAATTGCACATTCTTCTCTGGGAGCATTTCTTCTGCAGAAATATTCATTCTTGATGCTTATTATTAAACGGTCCTGAAATGATCGGCCACCGGGCGAGTAGTATTGCCATGGCTTTGTGCGTTGTCATATGTCCTCGAGTGCAAGCCCAATTCCAACCCGGCCGCGAATGCTTCTGCAGAGCCGATGAAGCAGTCGATGATTGCGGGTAAGTTAGTTGCTTCTCTTTTGCACAATTAAAATGTTTTAAATTGATTTACACTAACAATAAAGAGTAATTTTTAGAATAACTCTAGGAATAACGGGTAGGTGAAGCGCGAACGAATAAGAAATTTATATAAAAAAATTATAATAATATTAGTGAAAAGGAGAACTAAAACAGTGAAAAGGAATGTTTCGATCCATTGATGCTTAGCGGAAGAAATGAAAGCGGCTTAACGTAGTACTGGTGAGTTCGCACGTCAAAGTGTTGCCGGTTGTCGCAAATTTCACAGCATCGTCGATGTCCTCAAAATGTCAGAGAAGTCAAAACCGCCATCAGCTTACTTCTGAGCGACGTTGTAAGAAGAAACTATCAACATTCTTGTCACCAGATGGTAGCTTTTTGTAGGATGCTACCATAAGACCCAGATGTTTCCACCTTTCTTTGCGGATAAAATACTGGGGGGAGGAGGGTTCAATTTTTAAATTTTTTCATTAATTGGTTTTTTTTTTCTTGATAGTGGTATTGCTTTTCTTTGCTAACTGCTTTTTCGGCAATCTGTTCGAGCCCGTCCTGTTCACCTGCGACTTTTTCAGATGCACAGAGGACAGCGTTGATCATTTCAATAACTACAAAGTGATCCCTATACTGCAGAAGCTCCTATCTCGAGATTTCTTCAGATTTTATAAGGTGAGTCAGATGTATTTACACTCCCCTCCCTCTTCCCTCCTTTCCCTCAGAAACTGAAACACTTGGATCAATTATAGCTTACATTATGTTCCGCAAACTATGCAGCTGGCAGCTTCTCCAGTTGCTTTGACCAGTGCTGCAATCACTGGTCAGCATGCTGGTGTTCCTAACGATGGTTTTGATTTTTCTATCTTTTTTTCTTTTTTAAACTGTAGTTAATGTCCAAGGATATTGTTTTTTTGCATTGTGAACTTTGGTTTTTTAATTTTAATTCCAGTAATTTTCAGTTCAACTGTTTTGCGGCCATTATTTTTGTTACCACTTTTCAGAAAGAATAATTTTTCTGTGGTTCGCTATTCAAAATTGCATTCTGCGATTTCAGGTGAATATGGAAAAAATGTGTCCATTTTGGCCGGATGATCGTCAGTGCGCGAGTAAAGAGTGCGGAATTGGCTATTGTGACGATGAAGTTCCATGGGCTCTAAAGCAGCCGGCGAGCATTTCAGTGGTTCGTTTAGCGCCCAATCGAACTTCTTCGTCGGCAAAAAAACATTCTGCTGTTCCTCAGATTGGCGGAAGCGACACAGGTTGCGAGGAGGAAAGCAATACGTTTGATCCACTGGATACAACGCTCACCGAGGGCGACCGGCGACAGCTCAGCGATATGGACTGGCATGACGAGAATGAGGACAAATTTTGCGATTACGAAGGTAATGAAATTCCAGTTCGATTTTGAAGTGGAAATGGTTTTCTTGTGCTTCTTTATATATATATTATCATTATTATCATCAGCAACATTATTGTTATTATTATCATCATTATTATTATAATTATTATTGTCACCATCTATTTATTAAAAAACATTATTGTTATTATTGTCATTATTGTCATTATTATTATTATTATTATTATTATTATT